GAAACATCTTAAAGCGATTCACGGGATTTAAATTTTATCTGCATTTTGTACTCACAAGATCTCTTGCCTCCCACCAAGTTTGCATTGGTTGGTGAAAGTTTTTAATCTGCATTTTGTTCTCACAGGTACTTTATAAAAGTTATCTTTCCAACATCCACGTACAATAGCCTTTCCTAACTAGACAGGCAACCTTCTCCCATCTCTTTAACTCAATTGATAGCAAGGTATAAAAGAGCCTTTGGCATGCTTACACCTTTAAGGAAATGAATTGATTGGGCTCAACATCTTCCTGACAGCCTAGGCAAGATTGAAAACCATACCATGTGCCACAATTTTTTTTCAAAAGTGGGGCTTTTAACCTTAGCAAGAAAAATTTAAATTGGGAAAATTAGTCTTCAACGTCAAATCAATACATAAATCAAAATACAACTATTCCTCATAGGGAATGTTGTAATAAAGCTACAGTAAAATACTGAACAGCTTTTGATATTTATAACTGACATGATTTATTGAAAAGAAAATTTAATAGAAGTTCTAAGTAATTCAAAAGGTCATTTTAGTGTTGTGTAACTGTTCAAAGGGTGCAAGTTCCAATCAAAGCAAAAACAGCTCTGTACAAACATTGCAGCAGCATTTCATCAAATAGAGCAAATATGGCTACTTGCTGTATTTCTGTATTGCTGTAAAAGTGTGTATTTTACAGTGGTCAACTCAGAGAAATGCTATAGCTTTGTTGAGAATGAATTTGGAGCTGAACATCCATTGAAGGTCACCTCTTTACCGTCTCCACTTCTACTTACAAACAGCAAGATTCCTACCAGTCACATAAAGATATAACACTCAGGAAAGACTAAATCTCAAGATACTCAGCAACCTGAAACTTAGGGGAATATCAGACGGCATCAATTGCAGACAGCCAAACCCTGTTCATGGCAGACAGACTCACCGTGAGCAGAAAAAGAGAAAACGAGATTTCACATTAACCCCTGAAATGATTTACAGATAAGATTATTTAACACTTTCAAAGAGATTCAAATTGCTTAATCACAAACAATTTGAAATACGGTAACATCTTTACTTTTTTCTATTTCGGATTATTTGGGGTGGGGGGAAGACAGTCCTATATCATTTGCAGCAACGTAAACTGAAATAGGGTAGGATTACAGCAGTCACATTACTGACAATTTGGGGAAATATTATGAAAATGAAATGAGATTTAAAATCAATTGCGATATTTTAAAATTGTGATGTGGCCTCTAGAGCCTTCAGAAAAATAAACAAATTATTTTGTTTTAGAGTATTAAAATTAAAATGGAGTGAAAACAGAAGACTAATTTGCGCTTATGGGATAACATAGTGATTTGACTAGCATGGGCTATAAGACTGGTAAAACAGAGGAGCAATGAATACAGGGTAGTGGGGGGTGAGCCTAGACAGAATAAGAGAGTGAGTCAACCAGGCCACTTTCATGCAAAAACGACACAGGTTTCTGCTCCCAATTGAATATTGAATGACCCCTACTGGAAAATAAGAGTGAATGTCAGTTACGTCAGAAGTAGTACAGCTGTGATTTTCCTTTCCCCCGCCTCCCATGATGGACCACGACCATAGACCATGCCCAAACTTGAAGACTAATTGGGGTACAGAACCGAGAACCACACCCCAGCACAACTCTGAGCCACATTACTGTCATGTATGGGCAGGCTGAATCACTTAGTCAGCTCCTGACCAGGAAAGATGACTAAAAGATGACTGACTCGGTCTCCAGCGAAAACATTTACATTATCTTGCTATTTCATGGGCAGCATTTGGAGATGCCAATTAAATCCATCAATTATAATGCAAGACACTGTGCTTTAGAAATGGTTATGAAGGAGTCTGAGGACTGATGCCAAAATTCTCTACCATTTAAAGAGCGGGACCAAATGTAAAGCAGAGGCATCAATAAGTGCAAATTCACAAGTGCAGTCCTGTTCTGGGTGCAAACCTTCACGCTGGCCTCAAAAGCTACAAATAGGTCAGCGATGCTAACACCTGGCCATCTGCGCACTTATTGCATTGTTGCTCTACGGGCAGGAGATGAACCCACGTCAGTATGGGATGCTATCATTTTTTTATATTTCAGCACTGTTGCTGAATACAGGATTGCTGCAATTCTGGGAGCCTTCGGGGACATCAGCATTGCCTCACACTAATTTCACACTGAATCAGGTTCTCATAGGGGGTTTTGATAAGAGTAAACAAGGAGAAACTGTTTCCCCTGGCGGGTGTGTCGGTAACTAGAGGACGCAGATTTAAGATAATTGGCAAAAGAACCAGAGGGGAGACGAGAGACCTTTTTTTTAAAACCAAGAGAGTTGTTACGATCTGGAATGCACTGTCTGACCAGGGTGGTGGAAGTAGATTCGCGGTTTCTAAAAGGGCTACAGGTAATAGCGAGACTTGTTGGATAGGTCTTTCAAAGAGCCAGCACAGGCACAATGTGCTGCACGGCCTCCTTCTGTGCTGTAGGATTCTATGAGTCATTTGCAGCAGCACTCACTATAAATTCAACATGAGCATAATCCCACCTGAATTTGTATGGAATATACAATCAATTTCCTACAAATTTTATTTTCTAATAATCCTGCGTTGATAACTCCACAAAGGGTGGAACACCTCTCTGCAAACATTTGCCACTGCAGCTGTTCAGAGAACAATAAACTTGGCTACGACTCCAAATGTTAAGATATATAAAAAAGCAAAACTATGCAATAAAATTAGGCTCCAGAATTATACACAATTCCTTTGCTGTTTTTTCAGTCATCTTTTCCCCTGCCCTCTTCAGTCCTCATCCACTCCCACCCCTGGCCCAGGTACTTTTCCAACTGTGTGAAGCACTTTCAGATGTCCTTCTAATGTCGAAGTGATATATAAATACAAATTGCGTTGTTCTGTATGCCAGAACTAAACATTGGCCAGAGTCAGGTTTACGACTTCCAAACTGCAAACAAAACTGACCCGCTGAGCGTACAAAATGTAAAATGAGTCAAAGCAAGAATTCAAACTTTGGCAGAGGAATTACAAATACACTACTACTTTAACAAAGCAGTTTGGATTAAGTATAACGTGTGGCTTTAAATATGCAAACCGCCACAATCATCCTAGGGAAAGACAACAGGTGAGCATCAATTATATTTTTGTCTATCGCAGCTGAAGAGATATAGTTATTTCTATCCCTGGGTTTATGTGATACATCAATATGTCTATTTGTAGAATGTTCAGAGGAAGTGGTAAATTCTAACTATTATTTTTAGCTATGACATGTGTATAACAGTAAAAGATTTCTCAAAAGGATTAATTTAAAAGATATAAATAAACTTGGATGGTTGGGCTGTGGTAGAGTTGCAAAACCAGCCCACAACAAGGCTCACTCAAAACAAAATGTAAGATTAGGCAGCCGAATTTAAGTGTACAAGTTGAATTGATTTTTAATTTTTTTATACTATTTCTGCTTTACATTTTGTAAAGCCTGTTGTAGAATCTGGTTAAAATTGGATGGAAGCATAAAATATGTGAAAATAGCTACGTTTAGAAAGCCCAAGACACCAAGTACAGCTTTAAAATATCATAGCTCTGTACTTTTGAGTGACACCAAAAAANTTAAATATTAAGAGTATATCATCAAATGGTTCATTTCATGTGTACTATCAAAGAATAGCTTCTACATTGTAATATTATTGAAATGTACCAGTATGATACTTGATTTATTACCTTTATTCACCAATAATCAGTACATCATCCAAGTGTTCAATACAATAATAATTAGGAAATCATAGTCAGCACATGTGGCACAATTCAATCTACTGTAAAGATAGGCCACCAAACAAATTATTAATGTAATACATCTCTGCCAGGATTCAAGTATAACCTGAAGCAGAAAGCTCAATATCACATAACTTCAGATTCCTCACACCTAAAAAAAACAGCATTGTAATCAGATTTTTAAAATCTCAACAGGATAGGCAAAGAAAAGTCTTTAGACAGAACAGAATACCTAAACCAAAGCAGTTACAGAACCATTATAAAATATTTACAAGGCTTCTTTGTGACAAAACACATGAACACAATTGGTGATCATGTAAAGGTATTTATAGGTATTGCATGGAAACAAACATCCTCCTCTTACAAAAAGTAATCCCCTTATCTCAGTCACAAAGGCAAATCTATCCAATGAAACACCAATTACAAAGTCCAATGTATATCTGCAAAAAAAATCTAAAAAACTAATCTGAGTTATTGTGTCTGTTTTAAAGACCACAAAGGCAGGATTATATTAACACTGCTTTATGATCGTAATAAACAAAAGTTTAATAACCCACTGACAAAAATCTTCCACATAGAAATCTCGAAATTGTAAGACCAAAGACAATCTCCAGCACAAGGACAGAAAAAGAAACTTCCTGAAATCTACTCAAGGTCCAGGCTTCTCATAGTGATCTTGATTTAAATCAAATATTGAACAAAGTGGTACACAAATAATTTTTTTGATGGCCAAAAACGGTAACTGGATAGCTTTCAGTTCCTTATCAATCTGAAAGCAAGCATTCTGCAAGCAGTCTACAAAGAGCAAGAGTAAGTAAGTTGCAAGAGAACAAATTGAATTTTACAGAAACTTTATTCTCCTGCTGTTTTTTCCTAAGGAGCTAATTGTACTTCAAACAGGTTATTTTGCTGCCCGTATTTGGGAAATTGATTAATGACTGCATAATCTGAATCCCTCTTGGGCATTTTCACAGAAGCAGACAGAAACAGAATCAACTCATTAAGTTACCATCCAGACAAATAATTCAATCTCATTGTATAAACTACCATAAGTGCTCGCGAACAAGAAGTGTCGATCAGAAATTCATAATTCACTACAACAATGTCATAAATGTTGAGAAGAGCAACACAGGAAAGAAGGAAAAAAACGTCACCCAAACAAACCCTGTTTGAGCTTGTCAGTTGCTGCTACGCACCTTGTAATTTTTTCTTCTGGATATTTGCCTGGGATCGCTGTACTTGGAGACAAGACACTTGTACCATAGGCAGGAAATTCATGTCGTTTCACTCTCACCTCACCATTTCCTCCCTACCACTTCCTTAATATGCAACAGATAAAGGTAACAGCAACTAGTGATGTCATTTCCTGCCCCTGTACACTTTCTGGGAAGTAAAACAAATCTGAACACTGCACAGAATCCAGTTTCTCAGTGATCATCTCTACAATTAGAAAAGCCAATAAGAATTTTGATCCGGAAATATCTAATTTAGCGATATCTAATTTTACTGTTATACTTTTATGATCACAAGAAATTGATTGGTATCCCTTTTTTTCTAAAAAAATCCGGACATTGAGTTTGATTTCAAATCGTGGCTTGATCCCTACAGTAGTTTATATAAACGATCAGATTTTGGAAAATTAATAATCATTTTTTTCAAATATTTGACCAATCAAAACAGTAGATTACTTTGTCAACTACATATGGACAAGTAATTTGAAACAAATGATACGCAACATGCCACACTTTGTAAGCAGCTCAGGTCAGAGGGATCCATTGACAAAACTGAGAAATAGGATGCATTTGGTTTCCTACAGAGGGAGATCGCTTCAGCTGTATCAACAGAAAAAAACAGATACACCACAAAGGGATGAAGAACAGCTGAATACAGATAAATTGAAGAGCAAATGATTAAAAAACTAACAGCAACTTCTATTTATATAGGCATCCTTCTTATGGGAGAACATCTTGGAGCACTGTAAGGTGGTGGGGTTGGACTGAGCAAGGGAGAAGGGGGAAGTGATCATAGGAACAGTCAAAGAGGTAGGTCTTAAGGTGGGATTTAAAGATAAAGAGGGGGAGAAAGCGCAGTGATTGAAGCTGGAACAGATGTGCAAAAACCCATCATCATGCTTAAGAATATCCAAATCTAGCTGAGATTTCCATGCATCCCACCTACACGTGGAAATCAGAGATAGATTGTGGGAATGGAATGTGCACTCTCTGCCTGGAGGGACATCCTGCTTACCTAATTCCGGGAAGTATTAACAATAATAATCCTTGCATTTGATATAGCGCCTGATCACGTCTTCCGAGACTTCTCAAAACGCTTCACAGAAAATACTGTAAAGTGTATTGACTGTATGTTTTGTAGGTGAAATACGGCAGCCAATTTCACACAGCAGTGTCCCACAATCAGACGTGGATTACGTGACCAAATTTTCTAAAATTTATTTTAAAGGAATTATTACCCCCCGGAAAAGCGATCTGCCAATTGACTAACAACCTGGTTCCTATTTACTGCTAAGTAAACTGGAGCATGTGGAGTAAGGAAACTTGCCCAACGTTTCACCCTGCTGGGAATCACATCCAGGTCCTCTAGGTTGCTTTTAATATCGTCTTCTAATAATGTCTCCATACTGTCTAGTTTCTCCTCTATTGATCCCTCATTTAAGCAAATCTCTACCCTCCCCTTCTGTGCTAAGACATAACTGCTTAATAACTCATCTCAATTTCCAAATTTAAGCTCACAGTAAAGTGATTAATTGGGCAAATGCAGCATTTAACACGCACCCCCGCCCCCCACCCCCTAACTCACACACAGACGCACGCACACACACACACACAGATGGCTCAGATAGAAAATGCAATTGTCTGCTTAGTATTGTTTTTGCTCCATCCCTGCCTATAGAAACCACTGTAAACATATAAGTGACATCTAAATGAGTACTGCATCATTAGACCAGATAACTACCTCCAGGTTTGAGAATAACTTTCCTCTCCTGCTGGTTCAAAACACAAACCATCAAATTTTAGACCTTAAACTTGCAATGAAAAGGAAAGTGATCTATTTGCAGTGATCAGGTTATTGCAAAGACAACCTTGATTCCTCTCTCTCGTTTCAACTGAGTTTAGAATTGCAAAGCCTTTTCTAATTTTAGACAATACATAGTTACAGCATAAAGACAGCATGCCAGAAACGCAGGCCTCATCATAATCAACAAAACCCAGGAGATCATGACTCATACCAAATAATGGCTGAGGCAATTTCAACTCCAGATAAAATAGCCAGGCTCAGAATGAAAAACAAGTTAGTGGAAAACTTAATTAAAATCGCTACCTTTGGGACAAAAACAAACGCTTCGCTGGCAGCAATCTAGATTAGAAATCTGTTTAAATTGATAAAATTTTGGAGTAAAAACACCTACCTTTAAACCTTTTCAAGTTAGGTAAGGTAGGTTTGTGGATTTAGAGATAAACACCAGGCAGCATACACTTTTGGTGCAAATCTTCTGTTACTATCTTTGTAAGACAAAAAAATTCACTGCAAGTGTCTTTCACAGTTCTAATAATGTCTCATGACGTATGAATTGCAACTCATAATAAAAGTAGTTTAATCTTATCTAATCTTCTCTGTATGTCAATCTGACTCAGTTGGTCCCACAATGGGACCTGAAACCCTTATCGTCCAGGCTGACACTCCAAAGCAGCGCAGAGGATGGGCTGCGTTGGTCAGATGCTACAGTACTTCAGACACATTATGAAAACATAATCCTGTCTGCCTGTTCAGGTGGACGTTAGATATTCCCATGGCACTACTCAAAAAGAGAAAGGAGTTTCTCCTGGTGTCATTGGCCAACTATCCCCCAAATAAAATTGGTCACTCATTTCATGGCTGCAGCATTCAACCGCAAAATACAGTTGCTGCACTTTATAATGTATCCTTTAAAGCGTTTTGAGACATCCTCCCGACAAAAGACAATATATCAAATGTAATTTTTGACAGGAGTTGATCACTCATTTTTGTGCTTGTGTATTGCGGCAAAGTGTTTTGGGACTCTACCCTGTGTGAGGAGCGCTATATAAATGCAAGTTCTATTCCTGGCATATATGGCAGAAAATCGAGGTTCAACTATGCTTGCGCTGGTTATGTAGGTTTAGATACTATTTCATTTAATTCACTCCCATTTGATTCCAATTTGTATTTAGTAATCTAAACTCACTTATAAATTGCTTTATGGCATTGATATGCCTTAAATGAGCATTATATCGAAGTTCCTTTTACAGATTTTAAGTACGTTTCTATTGAATTCAAAACCAATATGTGCGTAACTTCATGCTACACATTCTCATTCTAAAGAGGTTTGAGACATGTCCAAATATTGTTCACTTGTACCCAATTTTGTCTTGTTTTTGATGACAAAGAAGCATTGTATCAAAAGCACATAATATATCCAAGATAATCGCAAGAGAGGTGCCTAGTTAAAATGTAAGCAATACACAAGCACACTAAATAATTGCAAATGGTGAATTTGATTTAGCAATATAATCAAAATGCTTTGCGCAGGGATAACATTGTTTATCTGATAATCTCGGTACCAATTCAATTTAAAAAATGGCTGCCAACAGGAGCTGAGAATGATGTTACAGCTTTAGTGCTCTCTTGTTGGATTTGATGTGGGTCAGTAAATGCAGTCACATATGATCGATCCATTTGACTTCATGACACTTCCACAATCCAAGCAAATACCAGCAAGGCTGGCCAGCATGCTTTAGCACAGGAAGTGATTCTGGGAAATCTGACAACAGAAAAACTGATGATGACTTACAGGCACCCCTCCAGGTATGTTTCAGAACCATCAATTTCTCCAAAATTGTAGACTTTAAAAAAAGAGAAATCGGCTCTGTACTACAAGGTATTACTACAGAAGTATTCTGCTCCTAAAGGAAGCAGAAAGCAAAATGTTCAATACATGATTCAAATCCAGACCCAGAGATCAAAGGACTGTGAGTTGCACAACTGCACTAAACATAGGCACAACATGGAATATTTAAAAATACTAAATAACCAATGCAACATCAATGTATTTAACACCTAACAATTATTTAATGATTATTATATTTTTGAACAATAAATTAGAAAAATGCAGTAAGAATTTAAGCTTTTCATGTTTTTGTTAATAAAGGTCAAAATTACAGATACTTCTCCAACAAATGCCTGTTATCCTACATGTTTGATACTGGTGTTGTACCTTTATAAATCAAATCTCAAGTTATAGTAAAGGGTTTCAAATGAATTGCCACTTAAATGAGGTAACGGAGGATGACCACATACACAGAATTGTGCCCCTAAAGGAGTTAACTTCAGGAAAACAAGAAATGGTTGAAAAAAAGGGGGATTCTCTGTATTCTTTGTCAACTGGAATCCTCAACACGTTTCTCAAATGTCACCCAAGGTTCAATGTGGGAAATTGAAAGTCACACTGCTGCAATAAGCTTTTCTCAGATTGGGGTCAATAAACATTGGTGGAGCATAACTGTTCCATACTTGAGCATTAGCATGACTCATTATGATTAGTAGAAGAAAAATAAGTACAGTATTCCCAGATTTTAGTGTGACTGATCAAATGAGAAACCAGACAACTCTTTTACAAGAAAATTAGATAAAATCCTTTTACGTAAAAGAAATATAGTATTTCTTGAACTACAGTAGTTAGATTAAATTTGAGCTATATGCTTCACAGTAGATGGGTAATTAATGAAGAGGTAACTCATTCAAAGCTCTCAGTGTAGGTAATTAAATACACAGCTATTGTGAAAGTGTCAAACTACATGCAATTTATTGAACATCTGAGTGAAGTGCCCACCCAATTAATGTACTATCTCCTTGAAGTGCTAAATATAATTACTTTTATAGCCTCTGCCATGTATTTTAGTGTTTAATCACCCAGAAGTAGCCTACAATATATGTTTTATATAAAAAAACACAGCATTTTTGAGATACAGGTTGTTAACATTTATATCATTCAACATAATAAACGATGACAATTAAAACTGAAATGTTGTAAATCAAACTTCGTAAATATTCCCTTTCCTTAGAAATTCTCACATGCGATAAATATCCAAATACTTCAGTGGGATAGGCCATCATTAACTTTAAATGTAATAAAGACACGAACAATAAGATTAAAACACATCTAAAAATTAACATAACGAGCAATCCAGTGTCCAGCAGGGAGTAGGACCGCCACTCGTGATCCTGTCCGTAAAACAAAATCAGTAGCAATCTGAAAATAAATAGTAGCGTGTGATCTTTAATGCCCACCT